TAATTCTGTATTTTTGATGCTGTTTCGTTTCGAGTCAACCCAAAGTCCGAGTAAGTTTGAAAATAATGTCGCTTTTTTGGCGAATTGTGTCCAAAAATTTTTTTTTTTTCCCAAAAAACCCCAGGTGAATAAAATATTGTCTACATTGCCCGAGTAGGCGCTGCACCATCAAACTACGAGTAAATACGGAACGGGTGGGTTTTAATAATTTCTGGACCTTTTTTTCACTGTCCCCCACAAATTTTCCAATTACTGTTTTTTGGGCCCGGGGTGGGGAGGGTGCCCAGGGGGGCCACAGGGGGAAAGTGTTGCTGCTGCCTTTACGTGGGAACACCCTTTCCCCTCATACCTGAGACGAACAACGCTCCCGTCCGGGGTTCCCAGGAAATACCAATGATCTCGCTTTTCCCAAAGGGGGCTCCCGTCACCCCTTGGGTGGTGGTTTTTTTTGTGGGCTTGTGGTGTGGAGGGGCCCCTGGGGGAAAGAGTACTGTCCTCTACCACCTTACCCTCCCCTTTAAAATCATTCTGATTAACTACATCACCCCCCTACTACCACGAACACCAATCCACACCATATCTCTTTGCTCTCTACCACATCATGCCATATACCACCATCACTTTACCTCAGCTACCATCACCCTGTCCTCAACTACCCCATCACTACCACCACCTACCTTCTGCCACCATCACCACCACCACACTACCCTCCTACCAACACCACACCACATACCCTCTACACCATCACCACCACCACACTACTCCCTACACCAGCACCACCACCACACTGCCCTCTACCACCAACACTACCACCACCTCCCTCTACCCCCAAAACACCACCTACCACCACCTACCTCTGTCCACCATAATACCACCACCATCCTACCCTCTGTCCATCACTCACCACCATCCTACCCTCTACCACATCACCACCACAATCTAACCCTCTACCACATCAACACCACCACACTACCCTCTACCACCAACACCACCACCACACTACCCCTACCACCAACCACACTACCCCTCTACCACCACCACCACACTACCCTTCTACCACCACCACAACTACCCTCTACCACCACCACCACTACCCTCTACCACCAACACCATCAACCACACTACACCTCACCACCACACAGCACTACCCTCTACCACCATCATCCACCACCACACTACCCCTACCACCCACACCACCACCACACTACCCTCTACCACCAGCACCACCACCACACTGCCCTCTACCACCACCCACCACCACACTACCCTCTACCACCAACACCACCACCACACTACCCTCTACCACCACCATCCTACCCTCTATCACCATCACACCATCCTACCCTCTACCACCATCACCACCACACCTACCCTCTACCATCATCCCCAACACCCTACCACCACCACACTACCCTCTACCACACAACAACCACCACACTACCCTCTACAAACCACCACAGCACTGCCCCCTTCTACACCACCCACCACACTACCCTCTACCACCACCACCACACTACCCTCTACCACACCACCACCACACTACCCTCTACACCAACACCATCACCACCACAATCTACCCTCTACCATCATCACACCACCACACTACCCTCTACCCCCCACCACCAACAACACCACCACAACTACCCTCTACCACCACCACAGCACATACCCTCTACCACCACACCATCACCTACCATCAACACTCACCTACCACCACACTACCCACTACCACCATCCCACCACCACACTACCCACTATACACCACCACTCCTCCACCCACCCCACACTACATCACCTACCAACACCACCACACACACCCTCTACCACCAACACCACCACCACACTACCCACTACCACCAATACCACCTCCACACTACCCTCTACCACCAAGACACCACCACCACACTACCCTCTACTACCAACACACCACTACACTACCCTCTACACCAACACCCACCACCACACTACCTCTACTACCAACACCACCACCACACTACCCTCTACTACCAACACCACACCACACTACCCTCTACTACCAACACCACCACCACACTACCCTCTACTACCAACATCACCACCACACTACCCTCTACTACCAACACCACCACCACCCACTACCCTCTACTACCAACACCACCACTCCACACTACCTTCTACCACCAACACCACCACCACACTACCTCTACCACCAACACACCACCACACTACCCTCTACTACCAACACCACCAACCTCACTAACCACCCACACTACCCTCTCCACCAACACCACCACCACACTACCCTCTACTACCAACACCACCACCACACTAACCCTCTACTACCAACACCACCACCACACTACCCTCTACTACCAACATCCACCACCACACTACCCTCTACTACCAACACCACCACCACACTACCCTCTACTACCAACACCACCACCACACTACCTTCTACCACCAACACCACCACCACACATACCTTCTACACCAACACCACCACCACACTACCCTCTACTACCAACACCACCACCACACTACCCTCTACTACCAACACCACCACCACACTACCTTCTACCACCAACACCACCACCACACTTCCCTCTACCACCAACACCACCACCACACTTCCCTCTACCACCAACACCACCACCACACTTCCCTCTACCACCAACACCACCACCACACTTCCCTCTACCACCAACACCACCACCACACTTCCCTCTACCACCAACACCACCACACCTTCCCTCTACCACCAACACCACACACACTTCCCTACACCACCACCAATACCACCACACACCTTCCCTCTACCACCAACACCACCACACACACTACCCTCTACCACCAACACCACCACCACACTACCCCTCCCACCACCAAACACCCACCACCACACTACCCTCTACCACCAACACCACCACCACATACCCTCTACCACCAACACCACCACCACACTACCCTCTACCACCATCACCACCACCACACTACCCTCTACCACCATCACCACCACCACACTACCCTCTACCACCACCACCACACTACCCTCTAACCACCACCACCACCACCCACACTACCCTCTACCACCACCACCACCACCACCACTACCCTCTACCACAACCACCACACTATCCTCTACCACCATCACCACCACACTATCCTCTACCACCATCACCACCACACTATCCTCTACCACCATCACCACCACACTATCCTCTACCACCATCACCACCACACTATCCTCTACCACCATCACCACCACACTATCCTCTACCACCATCACCACCACACTATCCTCTACCACCATCACCACCACACTATCCTCTACCACCATCACCACCACACTACCCTCTACCACCATCACCACCACACTACCCTCTACCACCATCACCACCACACTACCCTCTACCACCATCACCACCACACTACTACCCTCCTACCACCACCCACCACACTACCCTCTACCACCATCATCATCACCCACCACACTACCCTCTACCACCATCATCATCACCACACCACACTACCCTCTACCACCATCACCACACTACCCTCTACCACCACCACCACCACACTACCCTCTACCACCATCACCACCACCACCACACTGCCCTCTACCACCATCACCACACTACCCTCTACCACCATCACCATCAACCCTATATGGGAGTGTGACATACGCCGAATAAATTATAACATACTCTTTGCATGCCACAATGGGCTTGATTGGTGTAAAAGATGAGTGTAGCTGATAAGTATAGACTCAAGACTGGCTTCACCACTCGGTAACCCAAATTACACTTGCTCCATATCAGGTCACCAATATGACAACGCCCACATGTCTGGGGATGAGACACATCTATTGGCTGGGATAAAAAATGAATATAAGAATGACTTACATGTTTAACAAGTAAGCTGCATGAAGCTGTATCAAATGGGCTGCTAGTTATTAAAATCGCGTGAAGGCAACAATACTTTCACCTCGGATAACTCACTAACACAAATGGAGACGAGCATTCATTCTTCCTATAACAGGTAAAAACACTATAACGCTAATAAGAAGCGAAGTACAATGCCAAGGTATATACATGGGCAAGAGAAGCTCAGAGAGAAGTGGGGAACGAGAGTCTACAGGAAACACACGGAGAGAAAAGTAGAAAGAAGAGATATTAGGCTGAAATAGGCAGGAACCAAACTGAACATCTGAACAACAGATGGTGCTGGCAGGCGAGACAAAATAAGAAAGCCTGTGTACTGTGGACAGCCAGAGAAACCGGAAGAAAGAAAAAGCCTGTCAAAGATTTTTTTCCTTTACACGGGTGAATATCAGCTTTGAAGATTTATAAGGGATCAGACGAGGCATTTACAAGTCATTATATGGAAAGTAATATTCAAATTTCTTCAATAAAGACGGTAAAGGAGAACATACGCACCCCATATCTAATTAAAACCTTTCTAAGAGCCTAGAGAGACCAATATCCTACAATACACAAGATCATTAAGCATACAGCCGCTCAGAAGTTCCATTATCAAATTTGAAACTATATGAATGAGACGTTCTTGAGTTAGCGAGAAAATATTGAAAAGTTGTAGGAAGAAGAAAGAAACGAAGGGAAATTCAGGTAAGTTAATCTTTCGAGGATTTCTGATAAAAAAGAACTCGTAAGTTTCCACGAATGCTGTTTTATCAGCATTAATAAAGTGTATCAGGGAATCTCGCAAGAACATTAATATAGCAAAATGATGCTGGGTACGAGCACCAGCCTGGAGGACTGCTAAGTTAGACACTTGTGCAACACTCGGGTATCTTGATTGTGGTAACGTTTCGCCAGCCAATGGCTTCTACAGTCCAATGCACAGAAAGATAGAAGATGAGGGAAAGAGTGTGCTTACACTCACACTCACACTCTTCCTCATCTTCCATCTTCCTCTGCACTGAACTGAAGAAGTCACTGACTGGCGATAAGTTACCACATTGAAAATACCCGAGTGCTCACTCGGGTATTTTCTGAGGAATGCTACTGAGGGAGTGTCAGCATGAAGACTTCACTTCGTTGACCACTTGTCCTCCACTTGTCTCCTACAGGTACGAGCCCCAGCGTGATGGAGGACTGCTGCTGAGGGAGTGTCAGCGTGAAGACTCTGCCAACTACACTTGCCACGCCAGCAACCCTCACGGCACTGACCACGTCCTCTACACTCTCATCGTTATGGGTAAGTTGACTCACAGCCGGAGGGAAAAGTGAGTGACAGAGCGCAACACGTAGCGTTCACTGAACCCTACGTGACTCATTAAGGGAGATGTATAGTAGAGGCTCATACACAAATAACTCGCACATAGAGAGGAGCTTACGACGACGTGTCGGTCCGACTTGCAACATTTACAAAGTCAGTGTGACTTTGTTAATGGTCCAATTAGGATCGAAACGTCGTCGTAAGCTCCTCTCTCCTATGTGCGGGTTATTTGTGTATTGTTCCAGTCACGGTATTGTGCATTTTTCATTATTTAGAGGCTCGATCCTCTGTCTAACATTCAAAGACTGGTGCCTGTCTTTCAAGTTGTTAGTGAAGCAGACAAAGAAAAATGTTGTATGAAGGTTGCTGTTATTATTATTATTATTATTATTATTATTATTATTATTATGCATAAAAGCGAATAAGTGATACAGGTCCTAACTGAAGAGACTGGCTGTTAGTTACCAGTTGTCAAAAGCACCTGTCGATAGATACTTGGCCTGTTGTTTATAGTTTGTAGTGAGCGTGTGTGTGTTTATGTCTGGGTGTATGTGTGTGTGTGTAGGTACCTAATTGTGCTCACCTAATTGTGGTTGCAGGGGTCGAGACTCAGCTCCTGGCCCCGCCTCTTCACTGATCGCTACTAGGTCCTCTCTCTCCCTGCTCCATGAGCTTTATCATACCTGATCTTAAAACTATGAATGGTTCCCGCCTCCACTACGTCACTTTCTAGGCTATTCCACCTCCTGAAGAAATACTTCATAACATCCCTTTGACTCATCTGGGTCTTCAACTTCCAATTGTGACCCCTTGTTTCTGTGTCCTGTCTCTGTCCACCTTGTCTATTCCGCGCAGTATTTTATATGTTGTTATCATGTCTCCCCTAACCCCCCTGTCCTCCCGTGTCGTCAGGCCGATTTCCCTCAACCTTTCTTCGTAGGACATTCCCTTTAGCTCGCAAACCTTTGCACTTTCTCTAATTTCTTGACTTGCTTGATCAAGTGTGGGTTCCAAACTGGTGCTGCATACTCCAGTATGGGCCTGACGTATATGGTGTACAGTCTTGAACGATTCCTTACTAAGGTATCGGAACACTATCCTTAGGTTTGCCAGACGCCCGTATGCTGCAGCAGTTATCTGACTGATGTGTGCCTCAGGAGATGTGCCAGATATTATACTCACCCCAAGATCTTTTTCCTTGAGTGAGGTTTGCAGTCTTTGGCCACCTATACTATACTCTGTCCGCGGTCTTCTTTGTCATTCCCCGATCTTCATGACTTTGCATTTGGCAGGGTAAAATTCCAGGAACCAGTTGCTGGACCAGTCTTGTAGCTTGTCCAGGTCTCTTTGTAGTCCTGCCTGATCCTCAGCCGAGTTGATTCTCCTCATTAATTTCACATCATCTGCAAACAAAGACGCTTCGGAATCCACCCCTTCCGTTGTGTGTGTGTGTGTGTGTGTGTGTGTGTGTGTGTGTGTGTGTGAGAGTGTGTGTGTGTGTAAAAGGGTGTGTTAGGTACCAGATGTCAAAGGCAGTTGTCAATAGTCACTTGGCATGTTATTTATAGGTTGTGGTGTGTGTATGAATCTTTGAGGGCGTAGGAGTGTCTGTGTGCGTAGGTGTGTCTGTGTGTGTATACATGGGAAGATGAGTGTACATGGGAAGGTGAGTGCACAGGGGCAGGTAAGTATACATGGGAAGGTTAGTGTACAAGAGAAGGTGAGTGTACAGGGGAAACTGAGTGAAGAGGAGAAGCTGAGAGTACAAGGGAAGGTGAGTGTACAAGGGAAGGTGAGTGTACAAGGGAAGATGAGTGTACAGGATAAGCTGACTGTACAAGGGAAGGTGAGTGCACAAGGGAAGATGAGTGTACAAAGAAAGGTGAGTGTACAATGGAAGATGAGTGTACAGGATAAGCTGAGTGTACAAGGGAAGGTGAGTGTACAGGGGAAGCTGGGTGTACAGGGGAAGCTGGGTGTAAAGAAGAACGGGACTGTACAGGTTAAGCTAAGTGTACAAGGGAAGGTGAGTGTACAGGGAAAGATGAGTGTACAGGGGAAGATGGGTGTACAAGGGAAGCTGAGTGTAAAGGACAAGGTGAGTGAACAAGGGAAGGTGAATGTACAAGGGAAGCCGAATGAGCAAGGGAGGTGGGTGTACAGGGGAACGTGAGGATACAGTAGAAGCTGAGTATTCAAGGGAGGGTGAATGTACAGGGGAAGGTGAGAGTACAAGGGGAGATGAGTGTACAGGGGAAGGAGACTGTACAGGAGAAGGCGAATGCACAAGGGAAGTAGAGTTTACAGGAAAAGTTGAGTGTACAAGGGAAGGTAAGTGTACACGGGAAGCTGGGTGAACAAGGGCAGGTGAGTGTACAGGGGAACCTCAGAGTACAGGGGAAGGTTAGTGTACAGTGGAGCTAAGTGTACAGTGGAAGATAAGTGTACAAGGGAAGGAGAGTGTACAGGAAAGGTGAATGTATAAGGGAAGCTGAGTGTACAAGGGAAGGTGAGTGTACAAAGTTTGCCGAGTGCACAAATGAAGGTGAATGTACAAGGGGAAGTGGGAGTACAAGGGAAGGTGAGTGTACAAAGGAAGGTGAGTGTACAAGGGAAGGTGAGTGTACAAAGGAAGGCGAGTGTACAGGGGTAACTGAGTGTACAAGGCGAGTGTACAGTGGAAGATACGTGTACAAGGGAAAGAGAGTGTACAGGGAAGGTGAGTGTGGAAGAGAAGCTGAGTGTACAAGGGAAAGTGGGAGTACAAGGGATGGTAAGTGTACAAAGGAAGGTGGGAGTACAGGGGAACCTCAGAGTAAAGGGGAAGGTGACTGTGTAGGATAGAGGATGAGTGTAGGGAATAGTGGAAGGAAGGTGAGTGTACAAGGAAGCTGAGTGTACAATGGAAGCTGAGTGTACAAGGGAACGTGATTGTACAAGGGAAGGTTAGTGTACATGGGAAGGCGAGTGTACAAGGGATGGTGAGTGTATCAGGAAGGTGGTGTACAGGGAAAGTGTACGAAGGGAAGGTGAGTGTAGAGGGGAAGATGATGTAAAAGGGATGTTGAGTGACATGAACGAGAAACTGGGAAGAGGATGTACGGAGGGTGAGTGTACAAGGAAGTGCGAAATGTACAGGGAGGAAGTGTACAGGGTATGTTGAGTGTAATAGACGAAACTAGAGTGACAAGAGATGCTGAGTGTAAGGGAAACGAGAGTAAGGGCGAATGTACAGGAAAGGTGAGTGCACAGGGAAGTTGAGTGTACAAGGGAAGTGCTGAATGTACAAGGGAAGGTGAGAGTACAGGGATAGCTGATGTACAGGAATGTGAGTGCTACAGTGGAAGCTGAAGTGTACAAGGAACTGAATGTACAGGGAAGGTGAGTGTGGGAAGGTGGGACAAGATGAGTGTACAGGGATGAAGGTGAGTGTACAGGTGAAGGTGAGTGTACAAGGGAAGGTGAGTATAAAAGGGAAGGTAAGTGTACAAAGGAAAGTGAGTGTACAGGGTAAGCTGAGTGAACAGGGGAAGCTAATTGTACAGCTAAAGCTGTGTGTACAGGATAAGGTGAGTGTACAGAGGAAGGTGAGTGTACAGAGGAAAGTGAGTGTACAAGGGAAGGTGAGTGTACAGTGGAAGGTGAGTGCACAGGGGAAGAGTGTACAGGGAAAGGTGAGTGTACAGGGGAAGCTGAGTACACAGGGTAAGATGAGTGTACATGGGAAGGTGAGTGTACAAGGAATGGTTGAATTTCAGGAAGCACCAAACCTGTGAGGGTCATTCAGATGCACAGAGATGTGAAGGTTCGAACCTCCGTCCACTGACTGGCGTTCTAGCAACCTTCATTACCAGTCATGTGTCTGGGTGGATGCGCCTGCAAAAAAATGCTGACCCACTTGAAAAACTGTTACATTCATATGGCTGCGCGAAACCCGTAGGAGCTAAACAGCACCTGGAGAATGGAAGGTAATCAGGTTTGATCCAAGGGAAGAGTATCTCTAAATCCTTGGATCAAGAGTTGTTCTCAGCCATTGAAACAGCCCTGTCTAAGATGTAGGTGGAATATTTAAGCGAATGTTAGACTGTATGAATGTTTAAGTCTGTAGTAAATTGTAACTCATATTTTGTGCCCTCCAGTACTATGTTACTCCAGCACTAACACCTCCGTCCTCCACTATATTACTCCATGTTCCTAGTGTTCCACATCTTGTCCTCCACTGCAGTGCCACCCAGTGCGGCACAGCTCTAACACCTCCATCCTCCACTAAGTGCCTCCCAGTGCCGCACCGCTCTACTGACACCTCTATCCTCCACTACAGTGCCTCCCAGTGCGGCACTGCTCCACTCAGTGGGTTCCACACCGACAACGGTGACAGTGTCCTGGAGAGCAGTGGACGACGGTGGCGCCCCCATCAGGAGACTCACTCTTACCTGGCGCCCTGACCCAGGGGAGTGGAGGGAGGTCACCTTAGCCCGCCACCTGACGCAGTTCACCCTGCAGGAGCTCACCTGCGGTACAGAGTATCACATGTACCTTACCTCACATAACAAGATAGGTAACTACACGGCCAAGATGGCTTCCCCATTCACAGTTGTTATTGCTCATACTAAAGCGATAAACCCGTCAGGGCCACACAGCGTCTTGGGGGAATGGGAAGCAATCAGGTTTGATCTTAGGAAGGAGAGGGCAGCTCGAAATTCAATATATCACGAGGGTGAAATCTATTTTATATGTGAAGCTGTAAACCTTGAGGGGTAGTACAGCTATTGGGAATCAGGGGGAAATGGGGATTTAATCCAAGGAAGATAAAGAAAATTTCAAAGCCTTAGATTAAGGTCACTTTAGTCCGTTCAGTTTAGATAAGTTTAGATTTAGAAAGGATATAGTTAAGTATTAGTCTGGAAATAGGGTAGTTGATGAATGGAACAGTCTGCCTAGTAGGGTTATTGAAGCTAAAACCTTGGGTAGTTTCAAATGTAGGTTGGATTGTTACAAAAAACGCGATTTCTAATAAACATGAAGATCTCCAGTGAATACTAGAAAGGACTGCCCTTCTAACATCCAGCCTGTTACTGGGTTTTTGTAACACGTAGTCAGTATCCTGGTCCAATTATCCATTAGAATTCAGTAAGAATCAATAATAATTACTAGTGCTTCAGGATTGCAACTGGTAGGTTACTAACTAAAGAAATTAAAATTTAATAAGCTTATTAATAATAATTGTCTAGGCGTATATTATAAAATTAAATTAATGTAATGAACATAATCAAAATAATCACTTCTCTCGTGTACAGTAGTATTGTGCTGTAGACACATATCGCATCTATATGTCTTTTAAGTACTGTCTGGTACATTAACATTTAATAACAATACAAATATATACAAGTAAGTTTGTGTGTATGTGTGCAAGTGCTCTAAGTAGTTCGCTATGTCTCAAGAATCGACTCGACTTAACCAGTGACTGACTAAAAGTCCTCACATATACTAACTTCTTGACCAACTTGGCAATCAGAACAGCTTGCTTGAACAATAAAACGACTGATAAGCCGAACAGCAATATAACAAGCAACTGCGACACAGAATCAGCAACAAGGAGATAATATAACGACACTAAGTAGGGAACATCTGCAGATCCTCCACAAAAGTCACAAAACTCCCATACTACTGAATCTAAGTTCATCATAAGAAAATCCCCAACTGTAACAGCACACAGATACCAGTACAAGTTAGGTCAGAAGCTACAGCTCAGGACCTGAGTTGCTCAGAGTGTCTATGCGACACACAACCTCAGTACAACGTCGAAAATCACTAAGTCTAGGCTATGTTCTGTGAACAGAGTTCTACAGAACCAACAACAAGAAAGCGACAGAGACGATCTTCCAACAAGGGCCCACAAGAGAGAGGAGTGTGGGGCGTCTTGCCAGGAGAATGTCCAACAGACAAGAGAGTGGGCAGCCCAGGCAGACTACTCCAGGCGAGGTGTGAACCCCCCCCCTTTGATCACGTGACTCCGTGCTGCTGCTGCCCAGCAACACTGAGAAGCCGGCAGGGAAACGAGCAACGAGCGATAATTACAGTAGATAGACAATCAAGACTTGAACTATGAGCACTGAATAATATATATAAATGTTACATCCTACCTAATAAATATAACTAAGTCAAATAATAATATAAAGCAATATATTTACGATTTAGCTATTATCGCAAATATAAGCAATATAAAATTATATGAAAAGGTAATATACATTATATACATTGTGACCCATTCAGGGGTCGCAATATGGATAAATACGCGAGTGAGAGGGGTTGGATTTGAGTAGCACTTGCACACGAGTTAGTGGAATTATCAGAGCTTAATTGTTAGCGTACAACTAAAGTGGGTTGGATTTGTGAAGGATCTGCCCAGTATGAGCCAGCAGGCCTACTGCAGTGTTCCTCCTTTCATACGTTCTTATGTTTTTAACTACCCGTTACAGGAGCAGCGGCGGCCAGCGAGGTGATCAGTGTACGGACTAAGGGAAGCAGAGCCAGCCCCCCGCCACAACACCGTGTGCTCAGCGTCAACGTGTCTGCTGTTAGTGTCCACCTGGCTGCTTGGAGGGACATTCTCTGCCCCATCAACTCCTTCATCGTCAGGCTCAGACTAACCAGCCACAGAGAATGGCAGAGCGGTATGTTGTGGTACAGTGATGCATCATGATAGAGTCGTACGTAATGGTGGAGCGGTCCTTAATGATTGAGGGATACGTTTTGGTTTAGGGGAGGACTGGGATCTGAATCAGGGTTCCTGAAGCATGTTATACATTTAGCAACGAATACCAAGGGATTTTACTGCATCATTCACATTTCTGAAAAAAATGATATGGTAATCCAGACAAGATTTGGAAAAAAAAGACACTTATTTACATAGGTGTCTTTCCACATCCATACTTCTGCATCAACACCCCTTCTTAATTCACTTTGCAAGACCATGGGAACAGTGGTCAAATGCATCAGCTATGTAAAAGCAGGAGCTCAGAGCCATCTTCTTTACAAGCAACTGTATAAGGACATGAATTTCGAACAGGAAGATTTACTCTTTTGATTTAAAGTGTGCTGGCTTTAAAGGGGGAATGTGAGTCGAAGATCTAAGCTTCGATCAGAGTTCAAGTTGTTCCTGGAAAGGTAATGTAAGGACAATCTCGCGAAATACTTAAATGACATTATGTAGAAGGACACCAGTGCAAATAATAAGACATTTTACTGTAGCAACGTTTCGCTCTCCAGGAGCTATGTCAAGCCACAATAAAATGTTGCACGAGTCGCACTTGTGTTCTTTTACCTAACATATTCTCTGTAAGTTTGCCATTATTACTTAAATGACGTATTGTGAGAGCCACGTCTTCTATATATTGCAGATATATTTCTGACTTACTGTTTGAATCAGTGATTCATATAAAGGTGGAGAATAATACCATATGCAGGCTGGAAGTGAGGTGTAGCGATGTGCAGTGACGTGATGAAAATGCAAGTGAGGCTTTTTGAGATGCGGTCAGGTAGTCCCTGAGATCACATGATTCTCGTGTTGTGAGATTACGTTGGTTGAGTTGCCCTAAGCTCAACCTACATAGCGAACTGTATATAGTCCTACTGTCTTCAAGTTATGTCCTGGAATTTGTATTGATAAAGCCACTGGATGGCGAAACGTCTACAAAAAAGATGCCCAGATGTTGCACATGTGTCTTAATTTCATCTTGTCGGTATTATATACCATTCTTGCACAACAATATAGGAATCATGTAACCTCATGGGCTACCTGACGCCATCTCAGGTCACTATATGTACCTATCACCTCACTCTTAGCTTGTATATAGTATTATTCTCCACCTTCGTATGTTAGAAGTGATCAGGGTCACAGGACCGAAACGCTTTTAATAAACATTTCCCTGTGCCTTTTTCAATCACTTTATTAGTATAAATTACCAAGGTTCATACCACCTAGGCATCTTCGGCCACCTGTCACACTGCTGCTTTTTCATTTTCTTTATTTGTTGCTGCTTTGTGTAACCTAATGCAACGTAAATTAATATAAAATTCCCTATTCCAACCTAATCTAGCATAGAATAACCTAATCCAACCTAACCTAGTCTAGTATAACCTTACCAAACTTAACATAGCCTAACTCAGAGGACGCAAAGGTACATGGAATTTAAAAAGGAATCATTAGAAAATTGAGAGCTGTGAGGGAAAAGTTCAATAGATAGGAGTAGCGAGGGAGTGTATAGTAACAATAGTTTCATTGCCGGCTACTTGTTAAGGTAGGGTAAGTCCAGCTCCCGCTATCCCTTCCCCTCCCTCTTCCCCCCCCCCCCGAAAGGTGACGTGTGGGGCTCCGGTCAAACAGTAAATCACTCGACTCACAGCTCCCAACACTACTGTAAGTACACGCCTGGTCATATTTTAGTGGACTTATTGGTTGAAAGCTTCACTTTTGACCAATAATTAACTTAGTCCTTTCTGTCTTTATCTGTTAAGTGTTTTAATAATCACCACATCTTTTAGGTATTGTACTTATCATGGAGAGTGATTTCTTAAGCAGTGGGTAATCTGTCTCTCTTTACAGCTTGGAATGACAGAGAGGGTCACCTGCCAACCAACGAGAAGAATAGGAGACGGACTAACGTCCTGAGACGTCCCATGTTTAATCTATTTACCTGTTATGTAAGCCAACACAGGACGTAACCCCTCATCATGGCAGTGGTAACGAACCTGTGTTCCTGTTATCTGAAGTAATTATTCACGGCTACACTCTGTGAAGAACGAGCCGGTGGAGGTCACCAACACCTGCTACCCCCCCCCCTCCACATCAGCAACGGCTACGATTTCAACAACACTCAGTGACACCAACACCTGACACCCCATTACCACGATATACCTATATTAGCGTTGAGTTCAAATGTAATTTTTTTCATTTCATTTTTCATTTTTCTTTCAATCTGTATACCCATTCATGTTTTATTGTTTTACATTTTCCATTTCTGAATAATAGTGTTTATCATTGTCTGTTATTTCTTTTTCTATTCACTAATTTTCCTGAGGAGGAGCCAGCCTTGGTAATACTGACTGAAGTTGTTACAGGGCTGAGTAAGCCTTCACAAGTGGTGACCTTGCCAGGATCAACTCTACTGAATCAAGATTCAATTCCATCTCGAATCTACCATTGGAACTTCAACGCCTCATACCACAGACGGTTACCACCAGCCATGAGTAATCATTCTCTATGGTAGGACTATGGTACAGGTATTTAAAAGATTTGGTGATTGTTATAGTCTCAATTTATTGTAAGTCAAGTCAGGCCCGAAATGCTATGCATAGTATAAATGGCTTTGGCATGCTGCTCTTATCTGTATTTTTTTGTACCTCTGTATGTATGCTCAAATTGTTAATAAAATAAAAAATAAAATAAAAAAAAATTCTGCCACCTTTTCGAGCTTGAAACACTTCTTACTGTTTGCTCAGAGCCGGCATAGAACCCTTCGTTTTAATTAATATATATTGTTTAATTGAAGTAGGGATCGAGCCCTCTGGTTTATTTACAGTTTGAGCGGAGCAGGAATTGAACCCTCCATTTTCTTTAATACCCATTTCATTTCCCCTGATAGTTTAAGGTATTCTTGCAAGTATGGAGGAATACCAGTTTTGGATGAATGCTGGAAGTAAGTTAGGAATAACAGGGAAAAATTTAGAATCTTTCATTAGTGCTAAGATCCAGGAAAGACTTGAGAGAGAGAGAATTGAGAGAGGAGAGACAGAAAGGGAAAGAGAAGAGAATAAGGAGAGAGAAAGAATAGAGAGAGAGAGAATCAAGAAAGACAGTTAGAAAGAGAAAGAGAGGATAAAAAGGAGAGAGATCGAATTGAAAGAGAAAACCAAGATACAGTTAGAAAGGGAGAGAGAAGACAAAAAGGAGCGTGATAGACTTGATCGTGAGGAGAGAGCTAGAGTACGTTAGGAACAAGTTAAATTAAGAGAACTTGAGGAAAGAGCAAAGGATAGAGAAGTTGAGGAAAAAGCTAGAGAACGTGAGGAAAAAGCTAGAGAACTTGAGTTAATAGAGAGAAAAGGATCGCGAGCTCGAAAAAGCTCGCCTTGAATTAGAGAATAAAAAGTTAACTCTTGAACATCATGCAGCTAGTGCACATATTCCAACACCTAATTTACCTCCCTTCACAGAGGGGGATGACATAACTTCATACATTATCAGGTTTGAAAATACTGCTACCCTCTGTGAATGGCCTGCTGACACCTGGGCTACCAGATTAGGAATGTTATTTTCTGGTACAGCCTTGAATATCTATGCAACTTTGTCGCAGGATATCATATGTAATTATAATCTACTGAAGAAGGCAATCCTTAAAGCATATCAAAAAACCACTAATTCTTACAGGAAAGATTTCAGGTATGCCACCTTACAGCCTGGCCAGAACTTTCAGCAGTTACAGGTAACACTTTCGTTTGTTCGACTTTTGGATAGAGAGTTCAGGAATTGATCACAGTTATAAATCTCTTGGAGACTTCATGGTTGCTGACCAGTTCCTGACAGCTCTTCCCCACCAGATAAGAACATTCATTAGAGAACGTAATCTGATTAAAGCTGAGGAAGTTGCTGAGACCTAAAGGGATCGAACCCTAAGGAAAAGGGTTCATCAGACCTTAAGAAATCAAAGCCTCTAGTGGAAAATAAAGTGACTTCTTTTATTCCTGTTTGTCATTTGTGTGGTGTTCAGGGACATAAACGTCCAGATTGTCCTTCTAAGAAGGTCCAAAAAGTTGGAAGATGTTTTAAAGACTGTAATGACCAAGCAACCTTCTGTTCAGGAACAGTTAATGGACTTAATGTATCTACCATTTTACGAGACACTGGATGCACATGTATACTCATTTCTGATAAGCTGTTCCCTAATCTTAAAGAAACTCATTCATCTGCTATACTTTCAGACTACTTGGGCCGTAGAGACACTTTTCCTACCATCCATTGTTACATTAGGTCTAAATGGTTCACAGGTTGGTCTGAAGCCGTACTAGCTCCCATCACTTCTTGCTCTGTACTAATAGGTAATGTAAAAGGTGCCATTCTTCCTTCTGAGGTTGACCTTTCATCACCAAAGATGGATATAAGTGTTTCAGATCCTCTTCCTGTAGAGTCAGAGAAGCCCCTCGAAAGTTCAGATGAGACAATGTCTCGCGAGATTCATGTGGGATTAAAAACCAGTGATGCTACTCTCGAAAGTGAGGAAGTAGGATCACCGGTTCACTTGTTAGATGAAAGTGAAGATATCACATCCGATACTATAAATGTCTTGACTAGGGCTCAGACCAAAGCCCAGGCTTCTCCTACTGTCCATCCTTTGATTTTCCCTGACTTCAAGCCATTTTACAACGTAATTGCCCTTCTCCTCAGAATTGCCATAATGCCGCTAAACAAAATCAAGTTATTCAAAGGAAAAACTTTTCATACAAATTTGAATATATGAAAGGTATCTTGTACAAGTCAGTATTCAAATTAAATTCAGATGAGATAGACTATTCCATCTTAGTTGTTCCAAGTCAATGCAGAGAGACTGTTCTTAAAATGGCTCATGACCTGCCAGTGGCCAGACATTTCTCGCATCGTAGATCTTTAAATAAAATTAGGGAAACCTATCTTTGGTCAAAAATGTCCTCAGATGTCACTACCTATTGTAGATCGTGTAAAGTTTGCCAACTGTCATCCTCCCGAGGTACCAGGCGAGTACCTATGGTCAAAATGCCAGTCTTTACGGTACCCTTTGAAAGAGTAGCTATTGACATCGTTGGTCCTTTATCACCACTTTCATCTGGGGAGCATAGATATATATTAACATTAGTTGATTATGCTTCGAGTTTCCCTGAAGCCATACCCTTAAAGACCATAACTACTACAGAGGTGGCTGAAGCCCTTTTGTCCTTCTCCAGAGTGGGCATCCCTAGAGAAATTTTGTCTGACCGTGGGACACAATTTACATCTGACTTAATGCAACATCTATACCAACTTCTGGGAGTGAAACCTCTCTTCACCACACCCTATCATCCCAGCTGTAATGGGAGGATTGAGCGCCAGCATTCGATTCTAAAGTCCATTTTAAGGAAACTTTGCTCCCTTAAACCTAAGGAGTGGCATCGTTACCTACCCTGTGCTTTGTTTGCCATGAGGGAAGTTCCCAGTGACTCTTTTGGGTTTTCACCTTTTGAACTTCTCTATGGTAGACAGGCCAGAGGTCCATTGTCCATTCTTCATGACTTATGGACTAATGAGGAGGTAAATGCTGAGGTTCAGTCTTCTTACCAGTTTCTCCTTGACCTTAGATCCAAACTTGAGGAGACCTCTGACTTAGTTTCGAAAAACCTAAGCTTGTCAATGGACCAGTATAAAACCTATTTTGATTCCAAAAGTCAGGAGAAGTTTTAAAGTAGGGGATGAAGTTCTGGTACTTTTGCCTATCAAGTCAAATTATTAGTAGCATGGAAAGGTCCATATAAAGTATTAAAAATTTGTGGAAAAGTTGACTACCTCATAGAAGTCAAGGGGAAACCTAAGCTTTATCATATCAACATCCTTAAGAAATATTACCGAAGAAATTCGATTAACTGCCTTAATAACTTTGACTTAGTTTTTCCACACGAACTTGATATGACAACTGAAGAATGTAAGGTGTGTAATTGACACCTCTAACTTAGACTATGATGAGGAACTACATGACTTGGTGACTCTTGACCACTCGGACGCAACCAACATTAATATTAATGAATCTTTGGATGACCATAAGAGACATGAACTACTTCAATGTGTGAGTAACTTTTCAGACGTCTTTACTGATATTCCAGGTGTTACCTCCACGGTAGTCCATAAGATTGACTTATTGACGGACAATCCGATCAAACGGAAATTATACCCAGTTCCAGTTCACTTTAGGGATGCATTTGACAGAGAGGTAGACAAATTATTAAAACTAAAGATCATTGAACCTTCAGTATCTGCATATTGCTCACCAGTAGTCATGGTTAAGGAGGAGGATAATTCATATAGACTTGCTATTGACTTCAGAGGCCTTAATGCTATAACTCGGTGGGATGCTGAACCTATGCCCTTAATAGATAGCGATCTACACAAATTTTATGACGCTTCCTTTTCAGAGATTGATATTGCACAGGCATATCATCAAGTAATGTTAGATCCTTCTTCTAAGCAGTACACTGCTTTTCCTACCCACCAAGGACTGATGCAGTATAGAACTATGCCCTTCGGTTTGGTAACTGCCTGTGCTACCTACGTGAGACTGATGAGAAAGGTCTTGGGTAATATGCCAAATGTTTCAGTTTAATTTGATAACATTTACGTAATGACATCCACGTGGGGCGAACATATCCAAACATTAACATCAGTTTTGCGTAGGTTACGCTCACATGGCCTCACTGCCAAGCCGAAGAAATGCTTCCTTGGGTATAACAAGATTAGATATCTTGGACTGATACTTTCTAATAACTCTCTGCAGCCTCTCCCCAGTAAGATCAAAGCTTTATTAGAATTTAAATTCCCCAAAACCAAGTAGCTAATGTGTAGCTTTCTTGGTTCTGTAAATTTTTATGCACGGTTTATCCCGAACCTTACTGATCTTACAGGCATCTTATCCGACTTCCTTAAATAGTCTGTGAAGGAACCTTTTGAACTTTCCGACGTAGCTCTATACTTAAGATTCCAGATATTAATAAAACATTTTGTTTAAGAACTGATGCCTCCAATACTGGCTTAGGTGTGGTGCTACTACAATACCATGATGGTACTCCCTTCCCTGTATGCTTCCTAAGCCGGAAACTCCTTCCCGCAGAAACGAGATACTCCACCATAGAAAAGGAATGTTTGGCTCTTGTGTGGGGTATCACCATGCTTAAATTTTATTTACTGGGAAAAGAATTCATTTCAGAAACGGACCACAAACCATTGATATACCTAGAAACTTTTAAGGGAACCAACAGTCGCCTCTTGAGGTGGACATTGGCACTCCAGGCTTTTAAGTTCCATTTTGTGTATATCAATGGTTCATCCAATTATTTCTCTGACTGGTTAAGTCATGACAGTCAGTAGAAGATTTGTTGCCTTACACGGCTTCCACATGTTAGAACTTTTTCCTTGCCTATTCTTCTTATACTCCTTGACTATAAGTCTTGGTATGGGGGAGTGTGAGGGAAAAGTTCAATAGATAGGAGTAGCGAGGGAGTGTATAGTAACAATAGTTTCATTGCTGGCTACTTGTTAAGGTAGGGTAAGTCCAGCTCCCGCTATTTCCTTCCCCCTTTTTTCCCCCTCCCCGAAAGTGATAGTTTGATTGCCGGCTGCTTGTTAAGGTAGGGTCAGTCTAGCTCCCGCTATCCCTTCCCCTCCCTCTTCCCCCCCCCCAAAGATGACGTGTGGAGCTCCGGTCAAACAGTAAATCACTCGACTCACAGCTCCCAACACTACTGTAAGTACACTCCTGATCATATTTTAGTGGACTTAATGGTTGAAAGCTTCACTTTTGACCAATAATTAACTTAGTCCTTTCTGTTTTTATCTGTTAAATGTTTTAATAATCACCACATCTTTTAGGTATTGTACTTATCATGGAGAGTGATTTCTTAAGCAGTGGGTAAGCTCTCTCTTTACAGCTTGGAATGACAGAGAGGGTCACCTGCCAACCAACGAGAAGAATAGGAGACGGACTAACATGGTGAGACGTCCCATGTTTAACCTATTTACCTGTTATGTAAGCCAACACAGGACCTAACCCCTCATCATAGCAGTGGTAACGAACCTGTGTTCCTGTCATCTGAAGTAATTATTCACGGCTATACTCTGTGAAGAACGAGCCGGTGGAGGTCACCAACACCTGCTAACCCCCCCCCCACATCAGCAACGGCTACGATTTCAACAACAGTGTCACCAACACCTGACACCCCATTACCACGATATACCTATATTAGCGTTGAGTTCAAATGTAATTTTTTTTCATTTCATTTTTCATTTTTCTTCAATTAGGATACCCATTCATGTTTTGTTTTACATTTTCCGTTTCTAAATAATAGTGTTTATCATTGTTATTATTTCTTTTTCTATTCATTAATTTTCCTGAGGAGGAGCCAGCCTTGGTAATACTGACTGAAGTTGTTACAGGGCGGCTGAGTAAGCTTTATAGGAAAAATAAACTTTGTACAACGAGAATAGAATGGTGACTGTTTTATAACAAGGTCGTCTCTCCACGACAGTGAGCGGTCGCCTGCCGGGGATGCAGACTGAGTACACACTGGCAGATCTGAATCCTGCTACCTCTTACGAAGTCAGCCTCACCGCCACTAATCCTGCCGGAGACACCACGGTGACTTACTCCTTCACTACCCTCGGCCTCACCGGAGGTATAGTCTATCTATTATTATTATTGTTATTATGGGAAAGCGATAAGCCCGTACTGGTCATATTAATATATTATCAGAGGAGAATTTTTTTCCTGCGTCGAGGCATGGTTGACGAATAGGCAGCAGAGAGTTTGCATAAATGGGGAGAAATCAGAATGGGGGCACGTCACAAGTGGTGTTCCTCAGGGGTCAGTGTTGGGCCCTTGTTGTTCACAATTTACATAAACGACATAAATGAGGGAATAAATAGCGACATAAGCAAATTTTCTGATGACACCAAAATAGGCCATCCAATTCATTCTAATAAGGACATTAGAGCATTCCAGCATGATTTGAATAGACTGATTCAGTGGTCGGAGAAGTGGCAGATGCAGTTTAATATAGACAAATGCAAAGTTCTAAATGTTGGACAGGTAAATAACCATGTGACATAAACTAAATGTAGATCTTAATACTACTGATTGCACAAAGGATTTAGGAGTTTTGGTTAGCAGTAATCTGAAACCAAGACAACAGTGCATTAGTGTTCGCAATAAGCTAACAGAATTCTTGGCTTCATAGCAAGAAGTAAAAATAATAGAAGTCCTCAGGTTGTTCTTCAACTCTATTATTATTATCAAAAAGAAGCGCTAAGCCACAAGGGCTATACAGTTCAACTCTATATATCCTTGGTTAGGCCTCATTTAGTTTATGCTGCACAGTTTTGGTCACCGTATTACAGAATGGATATAAATGCTCTGGAAAACGTACAAAGGAGGATGACAAAGATGATCCCATGTATCAGAAATCTTCCCTATGAGGATAGACTGAGGACCCTGAATCTGCACTCTCTAGAATTAGGGGGGATATGATTGAGGTGTATAAATGGAAAACAGGCATTAATAAAGGGGATGTAAATAGCGTGCTGAAAATATCTAACAGACAGGACTCGCAGCAATGGTTTTAAGTTGGAAAAATTCAGATTCAGGAAGGATATAGGAAAGTACTGGTTTGGTAATAGAGTTGTGGACGAGTGGTACAAACTTCCGAGTACCGTTGTAGAGGCTAAAACATTGTGTAGTTTTAAAAATAGGTTCTATAAATACACGAGTGGGTGTGGGTGGGTGTGAGGTGGACCTGACTAGCTTGTGCTACTAGGTCGGATACACTGCATTGGCTTAAGCCGGTGGGAGAACTGGACCTGCCTCGCATAGGCCAGTAAACCTGTTGCAATGTTCCTTCATTCTTATGTTCTTAATATACCGACAATATGTAGATAAGTTTGTTTACAATAATACGAAATAACTCGTATTGTATATCTTATTTACACGCTATGAGTTATGTAGGAAATTTAAGAGGGAGGCAAAGTGCTAGATCCACAAAGATCATTCAAAACTTAATGAACATGAAATAAAGAAAATAGCACTCGCTCTTTTCTGTTAGTGTGACTTTGTAAATGGTCCAAGTCTGACCGAAACGTCGTCGTAAGCTCCTCTTTCCTGTGCTGTTTATTTGTCCATTAACACGAAGTAATTAGGAATACCACCAAAAAAGTTTCCATAGCACTGATGATAAAGAATATTGACAGGCTGATGAATTCAACACATATGCAACAAGATGCATTTATTTTGAGGGACTGATTACCTCAACTTCTACTGTCTCAAATAATTAAGCTTCATATTGAACTGATAATGCCACTGATTGGCAATCGTCTTCACAATAAATATAGCAGGTGTTGCACATGTGTTTATGTAAACGAGTGTGTGTTGTACCTGTCAGAATTTCATTATCTTCAGCAAGGATGTCCATGGGCAACCCGACTACTTTTATTAATTTCAATTATAATGATGGGGAAGGGCTAAACCTGTAGGGGGGATGATGGAAGGTATTCAGGCTTCATTCAGGGAACTGGAGCACAGATCCAATTCCCTAGATCAAGAGCCCCTCACTAGCATCAAGGGGTTCTATTTCGAAGAGTAATTATGTAATTTGGCTGTGTAGGCGAAGATTTGCCAATTTCATACATGCAGATAGGACATTGATATCCTTGACATCACTTCAGGAAACACTCCTTTGACCAGACTCAAACTGTCAACATAGGCGTCTCCTACTGGTGGGCTCCTACTGGACGCTGTAGTTGTCAATTTTCAAGTTCTATTTAATTTATTCCGTGCTGTAACTTGAGAATATACAGTCAACGTACCTTCTGTACGGTATTGGTTTAACAGGCGCGCAAGTTTTCCTGTCTCCTAATGTTTATTTTTTCCCATTTAATCTACCTTGTTTATAATCACAAATCAAATGTGATAATAATTATGGACAAGGTGGATTATAGGGAAAAAATAACATTAGAAAACGGGGGAGCTGACGTGCCCCTTAAACTCCAAATGACATTCATCAACCCAAATCTTGTGATGAAAACAAATTATTTGCTAGTGTAGGTCAGAGGGAAACCCATTACTCGGTCATTAATCTGTGTGTACAGATTATTATTACAAGTAACGAGTTACTAACAGCTGAAAAGTACAGTGGTACCTCGGGATACGAACTTAATTCGTTGCAGTAGGCTGTTCGAGTGCCGATACCGAACGAATTTGTTCATGTAACTTACAAAATCGTAATGACATGATTGCAAACAAACCATACCACGGATGGAGTTTGAACCCACGATCAGAGATTCTCAAAACTCCAGACCGTCGCATTAGATCTGGAGTTTTGAGAGACTGATAGCGGGTTCAAACCCCTCCCATGGTGTGGTTTGTTCCCATAAGATATAATGTAAATTAAATTAATCCAATTCAAACCCAAAGAAAATACACTTACAAAAGCACTTACATAATTATTCAAGTTCTGAGCTGCTCGTATCTCGAGGCACCACTATTGCATATATAACAAACCAGTTATTTTAGTTTTAAAGAACTTGGTTATTCTCTCCCAGCATTTGATAAAGATAAGCCATTTGATGCATCATATGGCTTTAAACGAGATAAGTGAATCATGCATTAGCAGATAAAGGCAAGAGGGTTGTTATTGAGCAACTGGATACACAGGAAAAGAGAAATTCTTGAGGATAAAATAAAGTTTAACTTGTAATAAGTGATTCTTTTGATCATGTAATTAAATTAGAGGATAAAAAATCAAATTTCACAAATGAATTATGAAAAAAATATAGTTTTGGTTTTAGGTCTGTGTTTTGAATAAAAAGAGCATCCCAGTGGAGGTAAATGGTATAAAATACCGACGCGATGGAAAAATAAACACAAATGCAGTATAATACGAGCCTTTTTGAGTACGTTTTACCAACACAGTGAACTTTATCAAGTCTTAAAGAGATTTACCTGAGCAGAGAATACACGAGTACATATAGGGAACAGTGACGTGGAGTCAGATGGAGAAAACTTATAAGGTTGAATTTGATGAGGACCTCCACAGGATGAATAAGTTGGAGGAGTTGGTTGCTGTGTAGGATAACGATGAAGAGGTTACCTGGCAAGGGATCAGCTATGTTGCAAAAGCCGTTGTGACAAATTGTTGGATATACGGTGAGTAATGATTCCAAGATCCTGCGACGCTGAGGGTCTTCTTTCCTTGCGATGATTCTTTGCGTCTACGTATTCGTCCATTCTTCCTGAGTATTGGTGCTCTAAAATACATGTTTGGAGGTCTATGGATGTCTCACCCATGTATAATTTGTTGCAATCGTTGCAAGGGATTACGTAATGGAATCATCAGTCATCTGCATATCCAATAATTTCAACCAGAATAACGGCTTTTACAACATAAGTGAACCTCTTGCCAGGAAACTTCATCATCGTTAGCCTACATAACAACCAGCCCAACCTATCCCGTGCAGGTCCTCACATCCAGCCTTCTCAGCATTCTGTACCTGGCTCCACGTCACTATGCTGCCCATATATACTCAAGTACTCTATGCTTTGTAACTTGAAGCCCACTGTGTCGGTGAACCGTAGTCAGTAAAGGGTCGCGTTATATTCCACTTGTCTCTTTTTCCAGGGTATTTAAATATTTTCCACTTAGTGCTGTGCGCACTTGTACCTTCAATTTACCAAAGTTCTTAGTTCCTATACTGCAGGTTTTCACTGTAAAACAACATACTATTAAGAATTCATATGATTCTGGTCAAAAACATAACTAGCTTTTATCAGCCCGATCTAGTTATGGCCAGTGTTGATATTCTGACCATTACCAGACTGGTCTGACAATAGCGGCAAAGTGACATGAATTCTTCAAAGTGTACTGCAGAATAACTGTTGAAAACTCCGCTCAACGGTGGCCACAACGTTCGAAATGGGCCGAACTGGAATACCAATTTTCCGCTAAGAGTCAGTACACATTATTTGTATTGATAATTTATTTATTGATAAGGATTTAGTTGAAGGTTTAAATAGAAAAGAAAATTATTATAATCAAAAAGAAGCGCTAAGCTACAAGGACTATACAGCATCAGAAAAGAAAAATAGAAAATAACATGATATAGCAGTTAGTGATTCTTTCATCATTTTTAATAACAACTTATACTTACAAATTGATGCTGTATCAATGGGATTCCCTCTTGGGTCTATTCTTACAAACATTTAACTTTGCTTTTATGAAAAGATTTGGCTGGATGAGTGTTCTTTGGAGTTCAACCCTTATTATACAGGAGGTACATTATGTCACTTTTCCCAGAGCATCTGCATGAGGGGCTGGGGACCCTCGGGGCGGGCGGCGTGCTGAGGTCATCGGCAGGTGGTGTCGGGTGGTGGGCCCAGGAGGTGCTCACTGACCCAGCCTTCATTGTCCCGGTTGTCGTCTCCTGCATCGCCCTCGTCTCTATCGTTGTCGCGATCACACTCTGCCTCAGGAGAAGTAAGATATAATTATAATTTAAATTATTAAAGTATTTATTGCAGTATTCTTGGGGGAAAAGCTAAATCTGAGTCATACAGCGCTTAGGGAGTCTTAGCAATTACTTTAAGGAAGGGGAAATAATCTCAAATTCATTGCCTCTACGTTAGCATTTAGGCACCCAAGATTTTTTACCATCTTCCTTGGAGAGGGTAAAAGACTGAGGTCAAAAAAGACTTCGCAGCTTCCAGGGGGTCCAGAGACAGGATCCCAGTGTTTCTTAGCTAAGCAAGTTACAGTGGTAGGGAACTGAACTGGTAACAATCGCAAAACATGAAATCAGTTACAAAATCATTGCATCGTAGTTTACATGTAATGAGTTATTTATAATATCCATTATTTTAACACGGTATGGTTGAATTTATACACCTGCCTACCTGGAGGGTGTTCCGGGGGTGAGGTCAACTCCCCCGCGGCCCAGTCCTTGAACAGACCTCTCCGTGGATCAGGGCCTGATCAACCAGGATGTTACTACTGGCCGAACGTAGTCCAACGCACGAACCACAGCCTAGTTGGTCTGGTACTGACTTTAGGCGTCTGTCCAACTTCCTCTTGAAGGCAGCCAGAGGTGAGAGGTTGTTGAACAGCCTTGGGCCCCTGACGCCCTTAATGTACTAATGGTGCCCCTACTTTTCAATGGGGGTATGTTGTACCGTTTGCCCAGTCATTTGGTTTCGCAGTGTGATTCTGTGTGTAGGTTTGGGACCAGCCCATCTAGGATTTTCCAGGTGTAGATTATGTATCTTTCACGCCTACGCTTCAGTGAGTACAGATCAAGTGACTCCAAGCTTCCCATTAATTTTGGTGTTTGATGGAAATTATATATGCAATATAGGTTCTCTGTACATTCTCTAGATCTGTGAGATCACATGCTTCACATGGATCATCACTGGCTTGGCAGCTCTTGTTCTTAAGGTTCTCATTATCCATCCTATCATTTTCCTCGCAGATGTGATAATGGCATTGTTGTGATCCTTGAAGGTTTGATCCTCTGATATTAATACTCCCAGGTCCTTGACACTACTTTTCCCTTCTATTGTGTGGTTTTGTTGTTTACTCAGTTCTAGCTATGATATCCTCTAGTTTTCTATAATATAGTTGAAATTTGCCATCAGTGATCATCTTAGTGTTATCCATTGCCCATATTTCGTTGTCAAAATGATCCTTTACAAGAGTCTCTATGAAAGCTACAAACATTGCATTTGTCTCTGAGCAGTCCACTGATGAAAGGTATCTTGTTGTTTGTTGATGACTTTAGACCCTGTATATTTGCAAAGATAAATGTCATATTGAGAGTACGTTGGACCTTTGCTGGCACTAATATCTGTTCTGGAGTGGAGGCCACTAACTGTGCCTCCACTTCAGTAGTCATCCGAGGTGGTGGTGCATTTCTATCATTTCCCGATAGTTTCTTTTTCTTCCTGGCACTAAAAAAAATCTCCCTGGAGTGGTTGTAACTACCCTGGTTTGTTTCGCAAGGTTTGTATGATCTGTAACCTCTTGTCCCTTTTAAATGGTGAGCAGGAGGGTAAATGTTGTAACATTTTCCTTCACTGACTGAAGACTAACATATTTCCGAGTGAAATAGTTAACAAGGAGAAGAAATGCATGCTCGCTTGGTCATGTGGTGGCAGCATTCTGAATGCCCATAATTGCACGTCCCACCTGTTTTCCCAGATATTCCATGCGTTGATATCCAGGCATAAAATTTACACAGATTTAATTTCTTTTGACTGCAGAGCATTTAGGGCAAATTTGGTGAGACATATGCAACAGTTAGGTGTCTATTTCGAAACGTTTCGCCTACACAGTAGGCTTCTTCAGTCGAGTACAGAAGAGTTAGTAGCAGCAGTAGAGATGTGAAGACGATGTAATCAGCCAGAATGACTCACGAAATCGTAATGACACGATTGCAAGCAAACCATACCACGGGCGGGGTTAGAACCCGCGATCAGAGAGTCTCAAAACTCCAGACCGTCGTGTTAGCCAATGGACCAGCTAGCCACAATAAGATTCATCCAGCTAGGTATATTTCTACACCACAGGAAGGTTAGCATAGGCACCACTGTGACCACAAAGGCAAATACAAATCACAACTACCTAGTTGGATTAATCTTATTGTGGTTAGCTAGCCCAGTGCTAACGCGACGATCTGGAGTTTTGAGACTCTGATCGTGGGTTCTATCCCCGCCCGTGGTATGGTTTGTAATCAGTCAATATACCATTTTCATATTCATTAGATCAGTTTTGTAGAAATAGAGGTCCTAGGCCCGTGGCCTAGTGGCAAAAGCTCTCTTCGCACGCTGAGTGTCCGTGTTCTGTTCCCTGCAAAGGTAGAAACATTGGACGTATTTCCTTACAACGGTTGTCTGTTTACCCATCAGTAAGATGAGTACCTGGGTGTTAGTCGACTGGTGTGGGTCGCATCCTGGGACAAAATTAACCTAATTTGCCCGAAATGCTCTGCATAAGCGGCTTTCTGTATACTAGTATGTCACTGATGTCAGCTAGACCTGTATACTTTGTACATGTACTTGTAGAAACAGAGATATTACTGTTATTATTATGAAACGAACCAACACCAGTCGACTAACTCCCAGGTACCTGTTTTATTGACAGGTGAATAAGAACAGCAGGTGTCTTAAGGAAACACGTCCTAATGTATCCCACGAATATAATAATAATTATAGTAGTAATAATAATAATCACTACAATCAAACCATACCACGGGTGGGGATAGAACCCGCGATCAGTCTCAAAACTCCAGACCGTTCTATCCCCGCTCGTGGTATGGTTTGTTTGCAATCGTGTCAATACTATAGAAAACTGTGTATCAAATGGGTAACTATACAAGAACATTCTTCTCGTATGCCAAGACTCATAAATAGCGCGATTTTCTCTCCCCTTCCTTTAATAAAATGCTCCAGAGTAATACTGAGAAAAAGTTTTGCATAATTTTCCTAAAGGTAGAACATATAGATGAATAAAATAATTGCGTATTAAAATGTGATGCTTTTATATACAAAACATCCATACTTATTGTGCCTACTACATACACAGAACACTACACTCCAATATAAACCCTACTATCAAACTCCTCCTTGATAACTATAACGGAACACACAACCATAATACGAGACACAAATCACACTTCGATATTCCACATGTCCATCTCTCCCTGTGCAGAAATGGAATTCGTTGCCAGAACACACTAAAGGGCCCCTGCCTACAAATCAGTTTAAGGCCCTACTTAGAAATCACTTCATCACCCAAAATTAACCAGACAAACCGTACTTAATACCTACCAGTTACTCAAAACCTACTCAAAAACTTTTAAATTTATGTCTGCTCAACTTAAATTTTTTTTCAGTTTCATTACTGCAAATTGTGCTGAGGATTGCTCAACCATTTCCTCATTACTTCAAAATTAGGATGTTTAAATTTCATTGTTTTAAATGGTACTAAATTGTAATACATCATACTGTAAATTGTTTTAAATTGTTCTATTGTAATACTGTAATTTTTATAAACTAATTGAATAGTGTAATTATTCTGTACTGGACTTATTAAAGCCACATAGCATTACCTAATAAAACTCAATTCTCTTGTACTCACTGTAAATCATCTAATGACGATATGAACTGTTATTCCCTTTATATGTTGCTCGAAAATGTTCACATGGAAATACGCTTTTACTCGCCACCTCTCCGACGATAATTCCCCTCTTCTCCAGGGCAATATACCCTTCAGCATCACCCCACCTCCCTAGTTCAAATACTCTATTTCCTCCTTAAAGACAGTATATTCTTCAGGATCCTCTCTTCTGCCCTACCTCAATACGGTATCCCCTCTTGCAAGGCAATGTATCTTTAAAAATCCTCTTTTCCACAAGATTGTCTCCCTCCCTTCAACTTCAGTTCCACCTCAAGACTGAATTTCATCTCTTACCAGCAACGATGCACCAAACATGAATGGTCGCCTGATTGTCTAACCGTTGTCGTGCCCTGCAGGATCAGGTGGGGGTCAGGAGGGTCCTCCAGACGAAGAGGATGGAGATGCTTCAGTGACTCCAGCAGCAGAGAACAAGAGTAACCTAGCGGTGAGAGAGCAATACTACGCTACAGTCAGGAAGCCGGCACCTTCTCCCATACATGATGTCAGCACTCTGGAGAGAATACCAGGTTGGTGCTGCCAATTTTTGTTACTGTTAGGAATATAACCCTGTTTTTCCCCTTATTCTCTTCCATTCACTCAGCACGATTTTAGGAACATAACCACCGTGTATGTATCAATTTTTGTATATATATACATGAGTACTAACATACACACGAGTGAAATACCTCATTTTCAACTTTCTGTAACAAGTGCAACATTTATTTTGTTCAGCTTCTAGCTGCAATGTCCTTGTTTAATTGTAGTGAATAAAAACATATTAAACATCATGTCTTAGATCTAACAATAAAGAAAATTATGTGAAACGAAGCTTAATTATAATCTTGCTGGATGTTTGGTTAATATAATGTAATAAATATTATTTACATGTTCTCCATCTGTATGGTTTGAAAAATGTAACTAATTGTATTATTGTGCATAGTTCAGTTGAATTTCAATTGAAATACAAGTAAACTGTTTGTTGTTCCGAACATTTAACAATGGTATCAAAATTAGTGAAATTTGAAGAATATTAGAGAAAATAATTTATTACAAGATATCCAGTAATTGTAATCGCAAGTTATTTTTCTGCTCAGGTAACTGCAAGTGGAATTGAAAATCTAGAAGAGTAATTGAAATTGTAACTGGCATTGCATCGTGTACCAAACTTGAATCACAAGAGTCAATTTCAAGTTCACCAATCAGAAGTTTTGAGGTGCTGCTATAACACTAGTGGATGAATGAATAGAGGGAAGGGGAAGTCACGGGGAAGGGGGTTGCAAATCTTTAGTTCAAGTACTTTCACACTTCTCATTGTGTCATCAGGAGCTGTCCAATGTTGCGAGAGAGCAACCAAAGCAGGGAGAGGGTCGCAGAGTAGCGTAGGTGCCATCGTCCACAGTTACCCTTAGACTGCGGTTAGTGGTCGATGACAACCCCACCCTACCATCATCCCCCTACTTCCCATATGGGGTAGGAGGGTGTCTGAGATGTCAAGTATGAAATTATAAGATATAAGATTTAAAAGTACTTGAGCTAAAGATTTACACCCCACCCCCGTGGTTATCCTGCATAGTTAAGATAGCCTGTCTGCGATTGTTTGCTTTATATATATATTATATATAAATATATATATATATATATATTTTATATATATATATATATATATATATATATATATAAGCAATGATGACACAATGAGAAGTGTGAAAGTACTTGAACTAAAGATTTGCAACAGCCCTCCCTGTGACTTCCCCTTCCCTCTATCCATTCATCCACTAGTGTTATAGCAGCACTCACAACTTCTAAATTGGTGAACTTGAAATTGACTTGTGATTCAAGTTTGTACACGATGCAATGCCAGTTACACACACACGCACAACATTGACCAAATTTGCAGTTTTCTAACTCTGCGAGTTACTTTATCTTAGTTCTGGATGAACCAGACCTTCGTCAACAGTTTCCTCTCCAAATTATGAGTTAATTGTGAATGAAAATGAATTGGCTTCATGGTTTCTCTCTCTTTTAGAATATGCAGAGGACATATATCCTTACGCCACTTTTCAAATCCAGCGCCAGGAAGAGACGCTCTCTACGCATTTCCAGACTTTAGTGTACCAAGACCCGAGAAGAGCCACAGTGGAGACCCTCGCTTATAGGAAGGTAAGTAAGTGTGTGATATCTAAGAACTTGTATAAATAATCTTCAGACTCGATTAGGCAGGTCTCACATATTTATAAAAGGTTATGTACGTCTCCGGAGGGCCAACGGATACTTAACCAGTTAACGGGAGTACACCTACCAACAACACCGGTTTACCTGGAGTTTATCTGGAGAAAGTTTCGGGGGTCAACGCCCCCGCGGCTCGGTCTGAGACCAGGCTTCATGGTGGATCAGGGTCTGATCAACCAGGCTGTTACTGCTGGCCGCACGCAAACTGATGTACGAACCACAGCCCGGTTGGTCAGGTACTGACTTTAGGTGCCTGTCCAGTGCCTTCTTGAACACAGCCAGGGGTCTATTGTAATATTTCCAAAATAAAACACTAACACTACTAAACTGTGGAAGGAGCAATGAGGAGAGATCCGTCGACCTTGCAACTACCAGTCCTCGACTTTAGGTGAGTCAGTGTGGTTGTGAACCTTTAATTGCAAGGTCCACGACTTTAGGTGAGTCAGTGTGGTTGTGAACCTTTAATTGCAAGGTCCACGACTTTAGGTGAGTCAGTGTGGTTGTGAACCTTTAATTGCAAGGTCCACGACTTTAGGTGAGTCAGTGTGGTTGTGAACCTTTCATTGCAAGGTCCACGACTTTAGGTGAGTCAGTGTGGTTGTGAACCTTTCATTGCAAGGTCCACGACTTTAGGTGAGTCAGTGTGGTTGTGAACCTTTCATTGCAAGGTCCACAGTTCTCATTGCATAATTTGTTACTTTCACGATAGTATGCAATTTTCGCTCTAATAACATATTTGTGTTTTTGGCCTGGCTTTCATCTTCTTGGTTTAGTTTTAGTGTTGCCTGACCTTCATGTTCTTGGTTCTTGTTTGTGTGACCTGACCCACCATGAGGCGGACCAAAACATGGGTTCGAATCCTTGGCTAGTCGCATTGTTATTGATCATTACCATTCGTTTGTGGGTACAATATAAAATACTGCTTGTTGAGGCTAGTACACCAACGGGGAGAGAATGAATTAGCTCAGAGCACCCGTACCACCGCGGTCCCGATCACGTAAAAACCTCCTGCTGGGTGCGTGATTCCTGTAGGATTTGGTGGTCCTGTGGGTTAGAGCGTCATGTGGTTTTTCACTCACTATGAGGCGGGCCAAAACAACATGGGTTCGAATCCTTGGCTAGTCGCATTGTTGATCGATACCACTCGTTCGTGGGGTACATTATATATATATATATATATTATATATATATATATATATTATATATATATATATATAATTATAAAAAAATATATTAATATATATATTAATATATATTATATAAATAATATTTTTTCACAGACCAGAAGCGGCAATGTGGGCGACACAAGAGATGGAAGAGGCAGTAGAGGAGGAGGGGGAGGTGGAGGAGGAGCAGCAGCAGCAGCAGCACGTGGAGAAGAAGGAAGGGGAGGAGGAAGAGTAGCAAGTGGTGGTGGAGAAGGAGGGGAAGGAAGCGATAATTACGCCAGGGTGAAGAGGTGTCGCATCAAATACGGTGGAGAGAGTGAAGACTACGATGACAGCCTCAACAGTGACACTGATACTGATCATGCTGCTTTCTCCCGCACCGAGAGTTCAGCCCACCTAGACGACACCCCACTCTCTGCCCACAACCACCACCACACCCCACTGTCTGCCCACAACCACCATCACAACCCTCTCTCTGCCCATAACCACCACATCCCCCTCTCTGCCCATAACCATCACCACACACCCCTCTCCTCCTATAACAACCACCACAGTAAGGCTTAGACCCACCACACGCCCACAACCACTACACGCCCACAACCACACACCCATTACCACCACCACACACCCATTACCACCACCACACACCCATTACCGCCACAACCCTTCCTCAACCAAAGCCACCCGCCTCATCCTCCATTCTGCCTGCAACCAAAATTACGTAAGTTTTAATTTAAAACCATTCTAGTTAATTTTCCACCAACCACACGGCCTCCGCCATAAATATATGTCTATAACCACCCCGAGCCTATAGCCCCAATATATCAACGGCATGTGTACAAACCCCAGTGTACACAGTGCCATAACCACAACTACATTCCTGCAACCACCGGCACTACAATCCCCACAGTAACTGCATACCTACACTACTACTGCACGCCAAAGTCACTGCCACTACGCCACCCCCCC